GTTTGTAACACCTGGCTGTGTCAGCTGTGTCAGGTTATGTCATGTTCTGGAGCTCAGTTTGACTGATGCAGCTGGATGGGACCGGGCTTCAGCTGACATTGCAACAACCCAGGCAAACTGAAGAAGTAATTTTCTGTGAACGCGCCTGAGAAACTGGAAACTCGTCACAAATCCAAACAAGCAAAGATTTCTGACTCGGGCTATGGGAAAAGGCACCTGGCTGTATGCTGGCAATTCCAGCACACACATCACTGGGACCAAATCCAGACCCCCCTGCTCACCTGGCTATATCTTGCTGCAGGGTGCTTGTGAGCTGACTTCGTCAGCCTTCCCAAATAGGGCATGGGTCGTCTTGATTAAAGGGAGCAGAATCCTGCTTCCAATTCACTTGATTAAACTAGGAATGATGGGCCTGCTTTTTCTCTTTTTTACAGCAGCATAGGCTGATTTTGGTGAGGCTTCACTTGCATAAAGGAGCAAAGATAATAACCCAAGACACTGGGGCTAGGTACAGACATTCAAGAAGCCAAGGCAGAGTCGATCTAAGTTATATAGTTTTCTGTAGATCGGTAGCGAACAGAACGGACATTTGCCCTTTGGTGGGGAGGCAAATCTTAGCCTGGATTCTGCCATCTTTAGCTAATTGGCGTGTCCAGCTTCTGTTCTGTTATGGGTATAGACCCATTTCTGATCATTGATACAGGTAAAAGTGTGATGTCTGTACCTGACCTGGATCTAAAATAGTAAAAGGGCATTTTCTTCCCTGAAAGGTACAGTAAGGGATACTCTACAGTGCTTAGACTAAATATGACCCATTTCTACCTCTGGAATGGGCCCACTCATACCAGGAGTCACCATTTATTCTTACACATTTCTACTGCAAAAGCAGCTGGAAGCCCCAGTCATAATGCAACAATCATCATCTCAGGACATTGTTCTGGGTGCTTATGTTTAAGCGAAAGTTGGGCGATAACCATCACCAATACTGATTCCAAAAGTTTTTTTGCTGGAGAACCAGAGCAAAGGACAAATGGGTAGAAACTCCTGATTTCTGGTCCCAGCTGTGACAGTAGCCCCTTTTGGGGTTGGGCAAAAGAAACCTAATATTCCCTTGCCTCAGTTTACTCATCTGTAAAAAAAAAAAAAAAAAAAACC